TTAGGTAGGAATTATAGCCTTCCAGGAACCCGAAGTCTATCTGATGAATAGGAGATAAAATTATGTACATGTAAGACAGCTCCCTAACGAGTCCTAAGACCTTCACCTTTTTATTTTCTGACCTATGACTAATCTTCTCATCTCCCTTGGACATTCTATAAGGTTGAAATAACAAGTACTTTATGCTGTATTTTCCTGAAGCTTCTAGGCTCAACCAGGCGATCTCTTGGTATTGTTACTTCTAGCTTGGGATAGTTTGTTTTTTCAAATTTTATGCTTGAATCTGTGCATGGAAGAGGAGAGAGGGTGAAGGTGGCATTGATCCTAAATGAGATCCTTTTGCTGTAAGGTTCCTCTTCCTCTGTTCCTTAGGTACTGGGAGAAGCATCAGCAGTCATGTCTGTCTACTGCTCTTCTGCCTACAGCTGGGGGAAAGAAGGGCACAGAACCTCCCCCCAAATATGGGCTTAAAGCCTGCCATTCCCTCATTCTTCAGAGCTTATCAGTGGTGTCACCCCGGAGTGATCTGTAGTGTTTCTCTGGTACCTTCTTTCTGTCTGTCTACATGATTCAGATTTTTGCTGCCTATTTTCTACTGCAGTCTAATTTGACCTGAACTGTATAATTAACTTTGTTCAATGTATTTGCTATTCATAGTTCCTCTGGGACTCCTCAATGTACATTAAGTACATAAAAATTCTTCAATGGTCTTTCCTCAAACCTGAAACCTATTCTTGTAATATGTTTAATTAATTCTCTTCAAGCCAACATACATTGTCATTACCAAAACCTGTTTGCATCTCCTTCTTTGATATGGAATGTCTCATAGTCTTTTATTTGATATTTATAGGTTCCTATTCTAAATTTACAAATTTTCATTGCTTAGAATGACTTTCGGTTAATTAATAACGATTGACAAGTACATTCTTCAACTCTCTGTCAGAAGCAGTATACCAAGCTGGGCGTGGTGGTTCATACCTATGCTCCCAGCATTTGGGAGACTAAGGCAGGAGGACCACTGTGAGTTCCAGGGTAACCTGGGCTACACAGTGAATTCAAGGCCAGTCTGAACTACATAGTGAGATCCAATCACACACACAAAAAAACAGAGGGAACGAAAGAGAGCTGGGGGTGGTGGTAGAGAGAGAGAGAGACATGAAAGAAGAAAAGGAAAGGAAAGCAAAGCAGAGCAAAGGAAAGGAAAGCAAAAGATAAGACAGCAAAAGACAGACCAAGCCAGGCCAAGCCAAGCTAAGGCAGGCAGAGCAGGGAGGCAGGCAATACACCAACTGAACTCTCTTAACATTTTTCCCAAAGTCGTACAGCTTTTTAAAAGTTTTTGAAGGTAATAATGATGGGACACGTATTTTTTCTTATGCATTCTTTAATCACGAGAAAATTTGTGGATTTAACATGATGATTTTTGTTATGGAATATTCAGGCAAACATTATACCCACCTGAGTGGATGATCGGAGGATAATTATGTAACTATTGACTAAACATTGATTTTTGGACAGGAGCAAATTGGGAAGTAGCAAACAACTTGAGTTCAAACATAGTCCCCTCCCTAGAAGACAGTGTTTTCACTTGTCAAAATCCCATTACGCTTCACAGTTTTTACATTCTCTTTTGCATGTCCTCTTTGTCAAGAAACTTTTCCTCATAGCTAGCTGGACTCTCTCCCTGACTCAAGGCTCTCACAATCTAATAGGCGAGAGAAACTATTACACAACTTAGCATGGTAGAGATTTGTAAAATACACTGTCTTTACTCTTTGTAAAATATGAGACACAGAGGTGGAGGAAAAGATGGAGGATTTAATGATCTGAGTGAAGGTCAAAGGCTGTCCTTCCAGGGCAGAAAACCTTTGTCCTGAGGGCCTGGAAGGGTAAGGTGTGCAAAGCGAGGAAGCCAGGGCGTGTTCAGGAGAGGACCACTGCACGCTGTGACCAGAGCCTGAAGCGTATGAAGAAAATAAAGTGGTCACGGATGACATTAGAAGTGCAGTGTGGGCCAGGCGAGTCATGGGACTCAAAACCAAGCCAAGAGGTTGGACTTTGTCCTGTATTGAGAGGCTACATCATAGGTATTTTAAATAACATAGTAAAAATTTGAGACTCAAGTCTTGAAAAAATAGATTGGTGGTATCATGATGGATGAATTGGTAAGGAAGACTAGAACTGGAGATTAAAATATTACTTCAATTTTTATTTTTATCAACAGATCCAGGTTTATCTTGTATTACCTCGTAGTTGATGCATTTGTTTTTGTAATGTAGAGATATTTCTGTTTATACCTGTCATAGTAATGATGCTTCTTGAGGTTGAGCCTCAAGTAGTCTTAGGACCAAGAGGTTTTCTTTCTTTCTTTTTCTTTTTTTGGTGTCAAGAATTGAACTCACAGCTCGTGCTTGCCAGGAAGGTGCTGTGCCACTGAGCTGTATCCCCAGCCTCTCAAGAGGGTTTTATACTATCCACCATCTGAAAAATCTAAGAATTCTGGAAATCTGCATTTTTATCATAAGTTACTAGTGTAGTTTTTTTTCTCTAGTTCTCTCCAGATGTTAGAAGAGATAAAGCATTAGAAAACATTAAAACACATTAATAATGTGTATATATATATTTGTAGTCATAATATGCATAGATCCAAGGTGCAATTTGAGTTTATATCTTTCTCTGTCAGGATGTTTTTATTTCCTAGCTTAGTATTTTCAGTAAGTAGTGTTAGATCCATTTCACAGATATGAAGGCCCAGCCACTTTAACTTGTCAGCATCACATAGTGAGAGCATTTTGCTGTTTATGAGAGTCATTGTGTCTTACTCTGCACTTCGTATATATTCCTTCAAAAAAAAAAAGAAAGAAAGAAAGAAAAGAAATTAAAGTTTTGTAGTTACCTCTCCCTGTAAAGTCCTTTTCCTAGATATTCACAAAGTAAGTTCTTCAGATCTTAACATAAATCTCAGCTTCTCCACAAAGCCTTCCTTGATCACCCTACCTAATGCTGTACATTTCTCTATTTCACATATTTTCAAGTATATTGATATCTGAACCCATGAATTATTGACTTCCTGCCCCCTATTCCTAGATATCATTTTCGTGAGATCAAATGCTTTGAATGTCTTACGTAGTTCTGACATCATACTCTACCATTTGACCCAATACACTCAGCAGATATTTCTTGAAAGGCTGGCTGGGTAACTAGATGAATGAATGTCTCTCAAGCCCAGACTTGTTTCTTGTCCTTGTATTTCTAGGCACTTTCTTTCTGCTCTCAGCAAACTGGAATAAGCCCGTTGTACCATGTATCTGGGGTCCAGGCTGATCAGCTTTTAGAACCCAGTGTTTACTCCCTAGGAAAGAAGCAGCTCATTCTCTTTCTCAGTAGTGAAGAGTGAGTTAAGCTTATGGTTCATTTTACTTATCCAGACTGTGTGATTAATTTTAAAGCAAATATTTCTGAAAATTTATTTTTTAAAATTTTATCTTTTCTCCATTCATGTTGGCAATCTTTTTTAGGAGAATTTTTTTTTGTAGGAGAATTTTAAGATTTAAGTAATGTAAATACACATCACTCCTGGGTGCTTTTGTTTGTCTTTATAAAGTATAAGATACTTAAAAATGTATGATCTATGTGATAAATTAGTGAATGTATATTATCTCCATATACAAAACTAGTCCTCAGGAAGTAAATTCTTTAATTTTTGTCAGACTACATTTTTATTTTGTGGCATTTGTGATTTTCTTTTGTCTTGGAGGTTTGAAGTGCCTACTTTGTCACTAACATATAAACCTCTCTTCTCACTATCCCTCTGTCTAGGAGTAGCTCACTGTTTAACTCCTGAGTTAGAGAAAGTGGTCTGCAAATAAATTTTAATTTTAGTATTTCTCAGTGTTCTATGAAGTGACATGATTTTGGCTCAGTTAATTAACTTGTTAAACTTGTAAAAGTTTTCATATGATTTTAAGCTACAATAGAAGCAAAACAATACCAAAGCAACTTGCCCTTTGCCTTGATACCTACCTTGTCCAAAACTATGGCCTAACAGTAATGAAAAGAATAATAGCTGGGGAACAGCATTTTAAGGCATGCTAAGTTTCACCAGTTGGTTTAATAAAATTAATTAGCTTGCCACAGAGAAAATTTACTAGCATGCTGGTTAATTTCACAATGTAAAGTCAGGGAAGGGAGGTAGAATTGAGGGAACAAACCTTATTAGTTTTGAATAATTATTTAAAGATGTGGACCTGCCAATTTCAAACACTTTGATAGCCAAATCCATTAAGGCTTTAAAATTTCAATGTCTTTATTTCAGCCTAAATGTATTTATTTCAGATAAAATCATAAGCATATTAGTTAACAGCTAAATGATTCACTTAAGGTAGAGAACAAGAAACTGAATCATAATAAAACCATGGAAATAAGAACTTGCTTTAAGACTGACTCATGGGAGGTTTCTGTAATCTTAATTTGCCATTGATGCAATTATTGGTCTTTCTTGTCTTTTTAATCCAAACAAGATGTTTGCAGTGGCTGTGGAAAGGTGCCTAAAATGACATGCCTGAATTCATTTAATTTGCCGACATTGTCTTTTTTCTCTTTCCCTTCCTGGTAATGGGTAAGAGTCAGTTCTGGTACATTAGGTGCTAAATCTCTTCAATTACCAGCCGGGAAGAAAGATTTAAAATTGTGCTCCAAACCTACAAACTGATTTAGTTTTAAAATACAAACACTTCCCCTGTGGAGCCTAAATTAAACCATAGAAAAAACCAGAGGCTGAGGAATTAAACAAGGCAGAGCCCAGGTTCAGGCCAGCCATAGAAACCAGTTTTAATTTCTTTCCTTTGCGCCCCCTGGTGAGAAAAGATGGGGAGCCAGAACAAACCAAAAGGCGCAGCCTGTGTAAGAAAGTACAACATTGCATGGCTAGAGATGGAGTGAATGTTGGTGCAGGGAGCCAATCAAATCTCTTACCGTGTTTTTCTTCTTCTTTTTGGCAGCCATTTTTAATGTGGATGACTCTGTGGTTGATCTGGAGACCCTAGAGGCCTTATATGAAAACGTGAGTGTCCAAGACAGACGGAGCTGGAGTTTCCATATTTTCCTTTTACTCTAAAGATCACTGAGTCTTTTGTGTGCTTTGGTAGTAAAGATTTTGGCATAGCATGAGGATAACGAAGGCACCGAGATGCAAGCTTGAATGGGATTAGACAGGAGAGGAGCATAGGTTCTTAACCCTCCCATGATATCCAGTGGGTAGGTCTGACTACATATCTCCCAAGTAGAGTGATTCGAGGTGGAGAACCCATGTGTGCCCTGAACCCCAGCTTTCTTGTTTGCTGGCAGAGTAAATGAAGGTAAGCTGCCTGTTGAATGGTGGCACACACCAGTGTCTTCCTCTGAGGAATAAAAATGTTAATACCAGCTTGGATGATTATTCTTAGTCCAAATGAGCTGGTGGCACTGAATGTGGAAAGCAGTATAGGACAGATAAATGCGTTTTGAATTTAGAGACAGAGAGACTGAGGCCTGAGCTCTCACTCTGCCTTTGCTTGCTGAATGACCTTGGGCCCATTCCCTAAACTGGTTAAACCTACTTGCTCATCAGTACAATATGGGTTATCGTGAGATTCTGTTTGTCTTTTTGGTGCCACATAAGAATTTAATACATACAGCAGTAGCTATATATTTTGAAAGAAGACAACACTGTGCATGTATAGGATATTTTGGTTTGAGTTATGGAAATAAGCATAAGACTCTACAGAGCATCTGGAGAGTCAGAATTCCAGTGACTTTTAACTGCTCACCGACTGTGAGGATGCAGAAACATAGATTGAACTAGATTCCCTAGAGGAATGGTATTTCCTAGAAAGTTGCCTGGGGCTATATGGTATGCTGGGTTACTCAGCTAAGAGATGTTTCATTTTAATTTCCATAGTCTGATATTGTATGCCTTGTGTAATTTCCAAATTCATTATTCATCTTCGTGTTATATATCAGAAACTATTTAGTACAGCCAGGTAGGAACTTCTCATAAGTTTCCATCTATAAGACTTTAATAAACCCAAAGGTACACAAATAGCAGATCATCTGGAATTAATCATGTATCTGTTGAGTACCTGGAGGGCAGAATGGTACAGAGGAAGAAAGGGAGTTCTGAGTCAGAAGCTTGTTACCAGTAAATTAGTGTAAGCTTCACTGGGCTTATCTATAAAATGAGGGTACAATAATTGACATTAGAGGATTGTGACAAAAGCAAAGGATCTTCCAGATGCTTTCTGTTATTTCCATGGACTCAGGCGTGTGCACATGACTGGGACTTGTTGGCACCCAGTAAAAGGAAGCTGTACATAAATTAAATAGTTGGTTAAATTGAGAGAATATGTGATCAAATGCCAAAATAAGTGCTACAGATAAGAACTTACGAGATTCAGAAAAAGGGAAAATGTGACTCTGTGTAATAGAGTGGGCAGCCTATAAAATTAGGAGAGCTAGTCGGAGGTGAAGGAAGCAAACATTAAAGACAACTGGCTCAGATCTGGTCATAAGAGACTCAAAAGTAGCTATCAAATGTCCCAGCTTCTGGATCTAGCTAGCCATTTCCTTAGTCAGTGATTCCCAAAGGGCAGCATGTATTAGAATTACCTAGAGCGTTTGCTGGGCCACCCCTTGCAGGGTCTTTTATTTGGATGGGGCCAATAATTTGCACTTCTAACAAGTGATAAATGATGCTGACAGTGCTGGTCTAGGCACCACACTTTGAAACCCACTGCCTTAGGTAGATTCTTGCCATTCACTTTTTGGTGTTTTATCTTGTTTTTTATTTCAATACAGAGAGCCCAAGAGAATGAATTGGTTAAAATAAGAAAGTATTATGAGACATCTAAAGAAGAAGAATTGAAGCTGCTGGATAAACCTGAACAGTAAGAACACCTGAATATTTTTCTATTAGGCCAAAAGGAGAACCATAATTTTGTTTCCCTAGTTTGACTATCCAAGACTAAATTGTGCAGTGAGCTAAAGTACACTACGACCATCATTCTTGTGACCTATTGCATATAGCAGAATGACCTGGCTGCCGGGAAGGCAGCAACTGAGATTTGTTTGCTGGCTAACAGTGTGTTTCACCTCCCCGGTTCCCTACCCCACACTTTTCTTCTTTCTTGTTCTAGCAGTTTGTTAATTCCTCCTAGACTAAACATTTTAGCTAGAAGGGTAACTGAGGAAAGAAAAAGACATTACTCTGTTTAGGTTTTGCTGATGCCGTGAAAAAGATGATATCAGAGTCACAGAATTCAAATTGAATTTCTTAAATGTCGTATTATATACATGTGCACTCAGTGTGCCCAGATTGCTGCAGATTTCTCCACTTCCCAGTTCAAGTAAGATGTGACTGGTTCCTTTTCAGTCTGCATAGCCTTGCTCTTCTCTCCACCCACTATCTGGAGTTGTTTGCTCTCTGATTTAGGATGCTGTTGCACATGCATTGAAAAAATCTGAAGCTCTGTTATAGGACTGAGCAACTCTTATCCTTGATGTGGCTTTGGTCTCTGCAGCTGTGGGGCTGCAAACAGCTTCTCAGATCCGTAAGCCTTTCAAATGTATAATGAGTCCAGAGAGGACAGCTACTGTTCGACCCGTTGCTATCTTGAATGTTTCATGTCCTGTTTAGCTGGCCTCTCAACTTCGTGACAAGGCAATTGTAGAAAGCAAAAAGGAAATGATCAGATTTAGTGTAACAAGTCAAGCCCTACAGATCTCGAAATATCTACAGCTTGGATTGTAGCCTCCATGCCTTGTGATTGGGTCTTCTGGGATGCCGGGACATTCAGTCCCAGAAACACATCACTAAGTGAGTGGAATGTGGATGGGGTGAGATGTCTAGGTTTGCTCAGTAACTGGAAAATCTTCTTGGTGGTTTGAGAAACTTACACAAGTTTGTCTCGTGGGGCACTTGAGCTAGGATGCTGTACCTCCGGAGGTCGTTCACAGAGCCCAAGACCACTGTGAACCCATTCCAGTGGGATCCACTGCCCTTCTCCGTCTTATGCACTCTTCCTCACTCACCAGCTCCCACTCCAGCTGACCCTGCAGCTTGTTCCCAAGCCCTGGTCCCCAATATCAGCAGTTAACTCCTGCCAAAGTGCTAATGATTAAAGTTAAATGACTACTGATACAATATTTAGACAGTGACAAGACCACAGGAGACATCTAGATAGGCCATGTCAAGCAGTTAGATAGAGCTAGTTATGCCACAAGGTACAGTGAAATGCAATTCTGAGCTTGAAGTCGGCAAACTTTTCCTCTAATGAACCAGATAATAAGCATTTTAGGCTTTGTGAGTCAAAGGAGCCAACTGCTCAACTCAGCTACTGTAGTGCAAAGGTAACATATAGATAGTGCATAAGCAGATAGACATGGCTGTGCTCAAATCAGATGCTATTTGAACTTCACATCATGTTCACATATCACAAATTGTTATCCTTCTATCGATACTTTTTTCAATCATTTAAAAGCATAAAAACCATTCTTAATTCACGGTGCATATAAGAACAAATAGCAGGGTCTGTTTTGCGGAACCCTCCCCTACACCACAAAACCTGCTGAGCTTTGGGCGTGGCTGACTGGGTAGAACTAACAGATCAGAGAGGTTTGTGTATTTCTTCAGTGGGAAGCTGTCCCCTTTTCCTTTTGTGTCACTGCCTCCCAGCATTATTGCTAGGACATAGAATAATATTAGCAGGTAATTAACAGATAACTTATTGTTCCTTTTTTCCCCTACTGATGCTCTAACTAGAAAAGTCTGTAAGTGGTGTTTGTGATGGTTTCTTGAGCACTCACAGCTGTCACTGACTGCAGAGAGGACTGTCACATTGTCCTGGTGAGTTGATGTGCTTGGGCTCAAGCACTGGAGGGTGGAGCATGGAGAGATGAAGGCCTTTGGGCCTGAGCGAATTTCACCATTACTCTCGACCTCCTACACAATTCAGCATTTGTGTGATTTGTGCCAGAGTCTCTGGAAACTTATTTGCCATTTACTCTGAGTGAGTGGACTATAAGCATGTTTTACATACTGGAAAATATGAATCATTTATAGTTTAGAATTGCAGTTTTTCCTAAGACTCTTGTGGTGCCCAGTCCTATAAATCAGGTTGGCTTCATCACTCACCTCATCAACACTCTACACCCTGGTGCCAGATTTAGAAAGCCATTTGACTCAGAGGTGTCATCTGCTTGGGACCTGGCTTTCTGAGAGCCACGCCCTCTAGGAATGCCCTTTATCCCTTGCTGTCCTGTCTTATGATGGTAGTGAGGCGGAAAGGCACTACTGGGCTGACTAGGCTTGATGTGTGTCTGCCATGGCCTACGATAAGGATGCTTCTTGGGATTTCCACTGGGATCTGCACCTACCTTGGACTCCTGCAAACTAAGATCCATTAGTGTTTGCCTGCACAGGCGAATTCATTAGTGAATGATGATAAAGTATGTGTTGGCCTCTCTAAAACAATGGCCACATAGCATCTTTCCAGCTGAGGATGTATAACTCACAATATAACATCCACTGTGGATGTATAACTCACACAGTGTGAGGCACAGAACTTCTCTTATACATGCAAACTGAAGTTTTAATCCTTCCTTGAAAATAAGCCTCCATTGGAGAAAGAAGGAAAGACCTCTTATTTATGGATTCTTTAGTCTTCTCTTACGGAAAAAAGAAATGTAAAGGTATAAAAGTCAAAAACAAATTGTTCTTTGGACATTTGTAAATATCAATGCTCAGTGTTCAAGACTATGCCTGAGGGTATATGAAAGGTTTACTCCTCATGCCCAGATATGTAGAGCATAAAACACAGTTGTGGAGCAGGGAAAGATATTTATCAGACACTTGCTTTTCATCGCCTTCAAAGTATCCTGTTTAAGAGCTGCCTTGCTTTTCCTCAAGCCTTTGAATGGTTGTTTTTAAACAGAAAATGGCATAAAAACATTTTTTTTTCAAATTTGCTTCCCCAATATTTTGTATTTTCAATTCCACCAAATGTGTCCAAGCCACAAACTCACAAGTCATCCTGACTCTTCCAGCATCCATGGGAATTTTAGTATATGGGCTACTGGAGGGAGCGCATCCCTGGGGATTCGTCAGTTATCTAACCACGCTGCCTTAGTGGCTGTCTCATCTTTGCCCCTGTCTGTTTACGAAGGTCACCTTATCTGCCCTCTTGGAGGATCATAGCGATGCCCCAATAGATTTCCCAGTCTTCAATCCACTACCATCTCTACTCAGGCAACCCACTGTCATGGCAATTGTCTCAAATGAAAAGCTTATTTATTTAAAATTTTTTTATTCATTCGGGTAAAGTTTAAAGTCTTTCTTTTAGGACATGGAACTGCATAGTAGCACCTGCCTTTGGCTCAGGTCTCTGTAGATGTCATTCAGCCTGTCTCAGCTTCCCGGGCAGCTTCTTACACCCATGTACAAGCACGGCGGGCCTCCACGAAGGCCAGCTCTACAGTGCATTCTCATCATTGACAGCACTTGTCACACTTCACAGTGATGGTTGGTTTATTTCCCATGGGATACAGGAGGAATTGCTTGCAATTTTAAATCTGTTTCCAAGTTTTAGTGTGATTCCTGACACTGTAAATGCTTCATACATACCTAAAGGACCAAGTGACACTTTGAGTGGCAGTTGCACTTGTATTAATCATTGGTAGAATGGTTCTACCCAAAAGGATTATAAAAGTCCTCAACTTCCCTCTCCCCTCTAACTCTGTATTTTGTTTCAAAGTCCTCACCATGTGGAGGGTCCTGGAGCTTTCACCTTTTTTGTGAGCCTTCCCAGTCCTAGTCTAAATGCCAGTAAATTTTTAATCCTAAAGAGGCTTGAAATTTTATCTTCTCTTTCCTGAGTAGCATAAATTAGTGAGCCTATGAGCTTGTTTCCTAATTTTTTGTCTAATGCTTCTCTAAGATACTGCTGTTCACCTGGCATTGACTGCTTTACGGTGGGTGGATGAGTTAAAAGGTTGATCTGTTTATTCCTTCGTGTGTCTCTTAAATGGCTTCATGACAGTGTTCATTAAAACAGGACAAGTGCATATTCTAGGGACTGGAATCTACTTGAAAAATGATGGCCCATGTCATATTATGAAGTTAACTCTCGGCATTTGAGTAAATAAATATTCCCAAAGCCATGGGACCAAAGGCTACTACTTCTTGATTTTTTGTCTTTTAAAGGGAATAAAATAATAAAATCAAAGCACTTCAAAACATTATGAAGCCAATAATGGTTACCATAATGCCTTTTGATGTCTTCATAATAGCTGTAGATAACTTCAGACATAGAAAAAAAAATCAAACAGAGCAGAATAAAATAGAAACAATGAAATCAAAACAATGAATGCGATAAATGACTTCAAAACAAGCCTATAGCAAATCCAAAATTGCTACCACAATATATCTTGCTATCTTCAAAATAGTTGCTCCTACCATCAGATTTGACATAATCAAACAAAATAAAACCTATCCCAACACAAAATGGAAATATAGGACTTCCAAAACAAGACCATAGGGACTCAACAATGGTTGCAACCCTCAGAAGGAGATCCCTCCCAGATATCATACTACAGTGTTAGCGAAACACCAAAGCACCATAGGCATCCAAATGCATTTTACCTCAATAGCTATAGTCACAGCTTGTGTTTCCCTGGATAAGCTGGTCACTTATGGCCACAGAGCAGGCAGGGGGTATGTTGGTACTTCTTGTTTGCCAGCCTGCACGCCACAAGGGGTTGGGGTCTGTTTGCTACAGTCCAGTGACAGCCTGCACATGGTGCTGGTTCCCAGACAAGGTCTGCTTGCTAATGTAGCTTTGTTCTCTCTACTCCTAGTCTGTGAATGGCGCCGACTCATGGGGAGAGGATGGGGTCTGTTTGTTCCTGGTCCAAGAGTGGCCTGTGTGTGGCACTGGTTCCCAGACATGGTTTAAGGCTGCTGTTTCTGTGACTTACAATTCTCATATATTTGTGCACACTAGTGATAGTCTTGATGTTAATCATGATAAATATATCAATTATTTAATAATGTTATAGTGTATTTAAGAAGAAACGATTTACAGAGTGTAATTTTTTCAAATTCAGAATTTCTATGATTTTATATTTCATCATAGGATTTTTCATAAGAATCAGAGGTATAGAACCTTAAAACAAGAGTATATTTTTGATTATGAGTCTTCCTTGCTTCACCTCAGTACCATTTTTAACAGGTGAGAGAGAGGATTATTACCTAGTTATAGGATAATTTAGAAAAACAACTGAAAAAAATTAGAAAGAAATTAAAATACAAATTTTCCAAAAGATACAGAAGGAACACAGTAATAGGCAAAAAAGTTTTAAGGAAAAAGAGATGCTCCAGTTTTCTGTTCTTTAGAAGCATTCTTGGTGAAAGACTGCAAAATTTCATGGTAATGATGGTATGAGCTCAGCGAGACTTTTAGAAATACCAGTTAATCATCATTTCTGCTTCAAAATGAAATTAAAGGCTGTTAGTGGATTCTCTCCTTTTCTGAATTATCCAACTGTTTCCACCCATTTTAGTTTATACCTTTTCCTCTGGTGGTTGGCCTGAAGAGAATGTAGCTTTTCCAACTTAATTTTGCAAAGAACATCAGTGCCCAACTGCTCAGACAGTGAGCTACTATGTGTAGGACAGTACTCACCTTTAGCTTTTAATATCTGCCTTGTCATATTTTAAAAGAAGCTTCAGGTTGTCTACTTAAGGAATGCATACTTATTTCCAAGTACCAAGCTGTGAAATGTGTCTGTGTGTAAGTTGATATGAAATATAAACAAATACATGGAGAATTTGGTCATTACAGATGATTATGTAATTGAGCAAAAATGGTAGCAAAGTCAATTCAGTATGAGAATTTTTGTCATTTAATTGCACATATTTTGCTGAAATATTTATCTTGCTTAGCTTATGTTAATGCATCTTTAGCAAACGTTACATTATAGGGAATATGCTGAAGATTAGATCTTTCCATGTGGATGTAATCTCTTTATTTGGGAAGCAGGAAATAGATAACTTTAACATTCTTGCACAAACTTTCCTAGAAGGCATCCTAGAAACCCAGAAAACAATGACTCCCTTGTCAACAATAGAACATATATACTCTTGGGATTTTTGAGTTAGCCTTCCTGATATATTTAATAATTGTTAAATTAGGAATGCTGTCATAGTAGATCTTTATCAGCTCTCTTTATTATTTGTGGGACTGAATATAAAGTAAAATAGTGTATTTTTATTTTCACTTTTACAGATTTTTGCATGAGTTAGCCCAGATCCCTAATTTTGCTGAGCGTGCCCAATGCATCATCTTTAGATCTGTCTTTGCTGAAGGTGTCACCTCTTTGCACCGGAAGGTAGAGATCGTCACACAAGCCTCTAAAGTATGTTTGCTGTATCTAAAGTTTAAAAGAGTACTTATACTTCCTGGGGTAAAGGAGGAAGTTGGAAGTGCGAGAAACCACCAAATGTCTCATAGAAAACCTCTTGGACTTCAGACTGTACCTTTTTCCCAAGGGAAAATGTGATAGCTGTCCTGCCTCTGTGTGTGTGAGTGTGTAAGCAGGAGCAAGAGGGCGACAAGAAGAGCCACAGACTGTGGAAGGAAGGGAAGATTTTCCTCCTGATACTTCTTCAGATTTCTTCTAAAAATTTCGTGAATATCTTGCACTGTACAAGCTTGCTACTACAAAGCCAACCTAAACAATGTACTGTTTTATGTTTATCTTTATAAATTTTAAGGCTGTTTTGGTTAAGAATCATGTGCTTGATCATCAGAAATGTGTTTCCATAGTTAAATCAAAGGATTCTAGAGATATAAGCAAAATAATTGTGATAATTAGAGATTGGCACATAAATTTCTATGACTTCAGAACACAGTAGCAATATGCAGTTAAAGGCTACTATTTCATCTTCACAAAATGAAGAATATGGCATTCATCTCCACATATGTTACAGCATGTGATTGCCTACCTGGAGGCATGTTTTTCACCTCTTAATATGTGTTTTCAACAAAGAAAGTAAAAGTATTACCAAAGAATAGCATAATCCCACAAATAATACCTAAATTAAAGAGCAAAAGTCTGACTAAAGAGGAATATTTTTCTTTCTTTTTCATAAAATAAAAGAAACTCAGCTAATTTTAAACAGAATATTTTCTATTTGAAAACCTGTACTTGAAGGAAAAAATGGAGATAAGGTACTTAAGAAACTCCCTAGCCACTTGATATTGTACTGTCAGTAGATATACAGCAAATCCTTAACAAACATTATCTATGGGCTTAAAATGCATTAGTGCAACTTGCTTCTGAAAATTATATTTGCTGTTAGGTCTATTCTACTTTTAACTGTATTCTATATAGACATGTAGTTCCAAAATAGATCCTGAAAAGATACTGAATATCTTTCTACTTAAGTCATTGAAGGTTCTGCCTAAATATACCAGCTTCCTTTTACTAGAAATGAAAGTGGCACAAAAGAAAATGTAAACACAGAAATTTAATCCTCACTACTAGATCATGTTTTAGTTATACTTTTGTTGCACAGGTAGAAAATTATGGCTATTAGTTTTTTAATACATATATGCCAAATGAAATATATTTTTTGATTCACTACCTGATAGTCCTATTGATTAAAAGCCACCCAATAGTCTATTTGGGTGCTCAGTAAATACTTCTTATTGAATGAATGTGGATGTATTAGAAGACTATAATAATCTGTGTTTGCCATCACAGGGCTTGCTGCACATGAAGAGTGTGAAAGATATCTTAGCTCTCATTCTGGCTTTTGGAAATTATATGAATGGAGGAAACAGGACTCGGGGTCAAGCAGATGGATACAGCTTAGAAATCCTGCCGAAACTCAAGGACGTCAAAAGTCGGGTATTTATTTTTCGTAATGAGTTTCTTTGTGTGACCTGCAGTTATTTTAATTAAAAAAAAAAAAAAAAAAAAAAACAGCATACCAGATCTTTCCTCTTTCACTACCTTTCCCCTAGCAATAACGATTTATTTGACAGCATGCCTTTTTTCTTTGGGTTCTTTTGACTTTTGCATACAGATAGGTTTTTCATATTTAGACTTGCTTTTCAGTGACATAATCCCCAATATTTCTTTTGTTCTATTATATATGATTAAAATGCTGAGAGAGAAGACAGTATAGTGCAGGAGTCTGTTTGAGTTTAGTGTTGGCTACTAACAACTCACTCTCTGGAGTGGGAGGACTGCTGAGTCACCACTTGAGTTTAGCAGTTGAATTATTCTCTTGCCACAATTGGGTTGAGGTGCACTGTCAAGCTTTCTGAGCCTGATTATCATTTGGCTCCACCCCCCGCAGTGCTACCTCTTTAGAAACAAGCAGCCCATATCTGGGGGTCCCACAGGGAATGGGTGGAGAGGGGGGGACGGGGACTGAGACGGAAGGGAAACACTGGAGAATTAGAATTAGACCCCTGTGAACAGGACACAAAGGCTGCATTGTGGGAGGGCCTGCTCGCCCCTGGCCTCCCAGGGTCATAAAGTGGCATGGCTTTGCTTTTATGCTGACTCTGATTGCCATGAAGAATACACATTTTTTTGAAAGGTATAGGAAAGTAAGGATAGTTTTCTGTTCTCTTTCCTAGTTTGCTTTTGCACTCCCCACCCCTTTCTGTCTTGCTTCTATGCCAGAAAATATTAGGCGGCATTTTTTTGTTCATTTGTTTTAGCGTTTATCTCAGAGATCTTATGAATTATCTGGCTTTCCCCCTACAAAGGACAATGAAGTGTCATTTCTTGGTAAAGATTTCATTTTAAAAAAATGGGTGGGACCAGGAGGAGAGAGAAAAATCTTGCCAATCCTAAACAGAGTTAGGACCAGGTCTTATGAATTTAAGGTATCGTGAGCCGAGATTTCAGCTCTCAACTGTTTTAATGTGTCAGAGTCTCATGTGAACAATTGTCATTTGAGTTTCTCTTTTAAACCTAGGATAATGGAATTAATCTGGTGGACTATGTTGTGAAATATTACCTGCGTTACTATGATCAGGTAGGAAATGGCATGATGTGGGAAACTGCGTTAATGGGTTTCAGCCCTTACACATTTTTGGCATTTAGAAATTAGATGATAGATAGATGGATGGAAGACTTTCAAGTCCAACATAGAATATGAGAGCTCTCCAAAGTGTATGGTTTACAGATGAGAACTCTGATACCAAGAGTGTACTTGACTGTTACAAAGGAAAGCATTATTCAGTGTTACAAATCAGTTGATTCTCCAGCTATTATATAGCTTCAGAGAGCAGTTTAGTTGCCTTGGTACGACTATCTGGCCAGATAGTGAGGGACTCTAGATCTATTCAGCAAACTGGTTACAACTAAAAATGGATTCTGATATACAGAATGAAATTCAGGAACTAAGATACAGTAACAGAATTGTGCCAGAAATGCATCTATGGACAAGTTGGAGACAGACCAATTTTGGGGGGAAAAAAACAGCTTAGATTATATTTGCAATAGAAATAAACATTTTTGTGAGAATCCACCTGAGCATAATTTTTTATTGCATTCCATCTCATTAAAGTGGGAACTTTAACAAGAGCCCAAACTTTGAGAAGAAAAGAAGGTTTGTTGTTAAATTGTTGAGAAATATAGCAATCGGTATGAACAGAGAAAGTCTCAAAGGAAGACATCACCAGTGTTCCCCCTAACCAGCCTTGTAGCAGTGCTTACAGCATACTGAAGAAAGAACATTAACGATTTCAGGCCTTGTTTTCAGAAGGCCTGCAGTTACCCCCAGCACCCAAGATAAACACTCATAAATCCTTTAATAATTTGTCCTGCCCTCCTCCCCAAACTTCACCATGGACTTACCTGTTCTGAGTGAATCTACAATCAGGCTCATCTGCCACGCCCACTCCACCAAGTTTCTCCTGTACTTCTATCAAGGAAATCATAAATTGTGGTCATTCAGGTGTGAAGCCGTGTGCTTTTTTTTGGTTCTTCACTATCCTCCAATTAATTCATTCCCGCTAGCTTTTTCCCACTGACTCAGGCTGACTGACGCGCTAAGGCTGCTAACATGGAGAATGTAGCACTTCCCAGCTCATCTCTGCACCTCTAGCTAACACCACTCCACACCATCTCACTCCCTCTTGCCATGTGGTTTTGATATCACTTTTTTTAAACTCAAAACAGAAATGACTCCCCATTTTCAAGTGAATTAAGGTGCTACGCAACTCAATTTCCATGTCTTATAACCATACTTTTTAAACTTTCCCTCTACACATATTCTGTGATCCAACCCAAGATGATGTTTTCCAGGCATACCCTGTGCTTGCTTCCTAATGTGTTTTTACTTTTGATATTCTCCCTACCTGCAACTATCTTAGTCCCCAGCTGTTTTGCAAAACTTCCATTTCACTTTATACTCCTGTCCAGAATAAAAAACTTAAAGATCTTTTCAGAGAAAATTCCCAAAAACATTATATATCGACCATATTATATAATATGTATTACAGATTTATCTAGAAAATTACAGACCCTTTTGAAGAGAGTTACATAATTTTACTGAAAGTCATAAAGTTTCATAAAAAATGACAAGAGAGCCTACAGCTAATTTATAAGAGAAATAAAAGATATAAATTGCTAACTAGATATAGAATTGCTAGTATGTATTGATCACATCTTTCTCTAGACATGTAGTTCACCATCTTATTCTGTTTATATTTGCTGTGTCAAACGGATGCATATCTAGCCTGCCCTCAACTCACCAAACTGTATCTCCTATAAAGGGGTCTTTTTAAAATATCCAAGGGAGCTGTGCCTTTTTCTAGTTTTGAGCTTGTTGTATCAAAAACCATAGAAGTGTACATAACTTTTCTAGGGATTTTCATCTGTAGGAAATAAGTAAATACTTATATCACAATTCTACTTAAAAAAATTGGTACCCAGCAAAATATTCAAACATTTTTAATAGTTATCCAGTGATAGGGACTAAGGTCGAATAAATTATGTCAGTCAAACTACTATGAAAAGTGTTTTTGGGAAAATTTATGGCACTAGAAAGTATGAGTGATCTTGCTTTAAGTTATTTCAAAGTTATATATATATATATATTATAATTTCAAATGTATATAAACACAAAAAAACTTTAAAGTATGTGTATTTAAATATTTCTGGATGTTAGGATTAAGAGAATGAACTTTTAAAATTTTGTTTGGATAGCTAAACATAATGAACATGTATCATTTTTGTAAAATGGAAAAAAGATGATAATCAAAAATAATGTAGTCCAATTTTACATAATTCTTCTTCCACAAAGATTTGCTCCTATCCTGACCTTTGTAGGATGTCTTTGAAGTTCTCAGTTCTGAAGCGAGAACGTCTTTCATTTGAATCTCTCATGATGCATTTTCTGTTGCTTTGTCTGTTCATAATAACAGTAGTCACCAATCATCTTGGCATTTCCCCATGAGCTGTCAAATTCATCACTGTCTCTTTTTTAGTGTCTGTAGTGCATTTTCCAGTGAGCCCTTGCTGAGTTAGATATCATACAAATATCCACAAGAGTATAATGAATGATTCTTGTAAAGAACTGAGTGTAAGAGCTGATACTTATTTTTGGAGGAAGTCATACTGAGCTCCAGGAAATTTAGTAGCAGCTATTGAGGTGATGCTTAGTTCTCTCCTTTCTTCTGGTCACACATCAAGCTAGATGAGCACTGAATGAAATTTCCCTATAAGATCAACACTGAACCTAACTATTGAATTTGACTCAGTTCTTGTCCGGTTCAGTTTGTGACCAGCATCATGGAAAGAATTGAGTGCATAAACCGAGATATATATATTTTTTCCTGAGTTCTGATAGTAGGCACAATGTAGCAGAAGAATTATTTGAAGAATCTTAAAAAGGTAACATTTCTACCTCTTGGTTGGCATGGCATGGGTAGTTTCTGTCTCAATTTACCAAGTCAAATACATTGTTTAGAAAGGTTGACGTTTTGCTTGTGATATATGACTGTCACTGAAGAGAGCAGAATCCAGTGGAACTTATTTTATGGGGGGAAAACTTATAAGGATAGTTGTAAATATGGGATAGGCCCAGTTTAGGAAAAATAAAACACTCACATTTGTGTAGTTCTTTCCTGGCTTTCACTGTGCAAAATGCATTTCACTCAGCAAGAGTCTGAAATTATGTGATTTATGAAGCTATCTTTTTCCCCAAGGAACATAAGTGATGATTTTCGTGGTTAGTGGTGATGAGCAATTAGCTGAAGAAAGGTGACTTCTGCTCCAAGCCTCCTGCTCTTTATGCCTGGCATTCTGTCTAAGTCTGGCCTGTGGAGGTTAAGAAAATCCATTCAAAGTTATGTCTTTGAACTCCAGCTGAATAGCTTTCACAAGATCTGCTACCAAGCTAATTTTCTCAGAAGCATTTTCTCTTTTTCTAGGGGCTTAGTCTGATCAACAGTTTGCTGGTAAGAAGCAGACACAGTACTGTGCCTGAGTTCTTCCAGTGTAGGTGACCGTGGGGTTTGCAGTGGAGCCTCGGATGTTCTATCTTGCCTCAGCCTCGGGTGGCTGCTCCCATTGGTTTCTTAACTAGCAGAATAAGTATAGGAAGATTAAAAAACAAAACAAAACTCAAAAACATTGTGTCTTGATAAAATGAGGAAAACTCCTTCTCCTAGCATCCCAGGTAAAGCTAAACGGCTTAAAGGAAGAGGAAAAGTCTAGGGAATTCTGAAACCACAAGAAAAATATGGCAAAAAGTTACATGTCTCCTGCTAAAGGTACAAACTTTCCAAAGCAGTGTTTTATAGGTTGCCTGTAATGTTGCCCACCACCCAAAAACAAAGTTTATCGATATTCCAGCCATTTACATCATACCTCAGACAAGACTTAGTTCCTGCTGTTGAGGTGTTTATTGTCAGATGGGGAAGACCTACAAACTAACACAGCAGTTTTGAAATTAGCAGAATGCATGCTGCAGTAATGTCCATATCAGGAGCTCCTATAGGAGAGTTCTGGGAGTTAGGGGAATCTGGTTCTGGGAGGTTCTGGTTCCGGGAGTTAGGGGAATCTGTGAGGAAGCCACATTTGTTTTGAGATTGAGGAATGACTGTGAACAAGGAGAGGCTCCAGGGACAGGTTGGTAGTAGAGTAATTTCGTAGACAAAGGCCTAGAGGCAAGAGACTGCAGGCTGTTCTGTTGTTTAGTAAAGGTTTAGGAAAAGGAGTGGGAGATAGGGGGAAGGTAGAAATAAGACTGTAGATGTAGACAGAAGCCAAATCATGAAGTGCCTTGTAAAGCAATTTTAGAGCTTGGAATTAGTCCTAATGGCAGTAGGAAAGATGGAATGTGAGAGAAAGCTGGCAAACTAGTGTGTGTGGAGAGAGGAATAACTGAAGACTCTCAGATATGCAAGACACAAAGCTTACATTAAACAACTCAGGGAGAAGGCTGCTAGGCTGCAAAAGATATTTGAAGATCAGCTTATGTTTCAGTGTGCTGGAAGATTTTGTCCCTTGAAACATTCCTCAGATGAGGTCCTTTGTCAGGTTTGGCTGTGGAGTTTGTTAAAGCCATACCCAAACATACCCTCAGCACATATTTTCTAAGGTAAGCCACACAACATTTGGAAAACCTTTGCAAGGTTGATCATACACACTCATCTCCAAAGCTTTAAGCTACAGAGAAAGGCTGGCATAGGCCCAGGGAATGTAATGGTATCTTTCACTAGAGCACCATCTTTTACCAGGGCATACCCATTTGCATACATCATGGATGAGTTATCTAAACCCTAGCATGGGGTGACTTGGGCAGGGACTTTAAATTTAAGTACTTTAATCTGTTCTACCTGTGCCTTTTTCCATAAAGGTAATATTCAAGATCAGTAGATCTCAGACAGTTTTCTTTTTGACTCATAAGGGCAAGACAGAATGTAGCCCATGCCACAGCCACATAGCTACCACACTGCCAGTAAAACAAAAAAGATACTATGAAAGACAAAAGTACTTCCAAGTAGCAAGTTCCAATTTAGGAGTAACAGACAAATGTTGTGATGATTCTTATTCAAAATGGAATTTAAAGCTTTTTTTCTCCTACACTAATAATTTGGAATTTTCACTGAACGTAACAATTAGGAAGTAGAATGTGCTGTTGTTTACCCTATCTTTTAGGAAGCTGGAACAGACAAGAGTATTTTCCCTCTGCCTGAACCCCAAGATTTCTTTCTGGCCTCCCAAGTCAAGTTTGAAGATCTCATAGAAGACTTGAGAAAACTGAAGAAGCAACTAGAAGGTAATAGGAACCGTTCTGTTACTAGACAATAGCAGAGACTACTTTTTAAAAAAAAGTATGCTTGTAGTGGATTATCTGTGTCTGGCTCACAGAGCAGAATTAGTACAGATTTCATGGAACTTTCCTCCTCTGAGCATTGTTTGCAGGCATTGTATTTATGCATGCCTCTCCTTTACTAAGGTTGATCATTTGTTTATTATGTCTATGACCTGTTGTATTGACATTCAGTGTTACACCTTTATTATAATAGGAATCCTTTATTAAAAACATAGTATTTTTTCTTTCCTTTTATAAGAACACTGTTAAGCAAGAACCACATAACTCCATTTTACAGATGAGAAAAATAATAGGCAGGCTTACCTACCTCTAACCAGGTGTACTCAATTAGAACTCATGCGTTTTCTTAGCCAGTTTACTTTGCTTCTTGATATAGATATGTATGATGACAAAACATACAGTAAACATTGTATTTCAGTTTAATTTCATTTTTGATTATAGAAGCAAAATGGTGAAAGCCCTCCTTGGCTCTGTGAAAAGCTAAGTCTTGCTTGAACAGGAATTTTCCTTTGGCACTTTTGGAGTCTTGCACTTTCGCTGTGGAGACATCTCTTTGTCCAGGACTATAAATACGCTTGCCTAGGAGCCCCTGTCTCTCCAGCTCAAGAGCTCTGTGGCGGGCTGAGGAGCACATTAATGTGGAAATGGAGACCCGAGTGCCAGAAAGACAGCTTGAGGAAATTGAAGGCTTTCCACCAGGAATATTTTTATACTAAGACATAAAATAAACATTTTAAAAATGTTTATTGTGAAAGAGTGCTCAGAAAATGAAGGCTCAGGCGAAAAACAGCTTGGAAATGAAAGCAAAATGCAAAAGAGCTGCTCCTGGTGGCAGGAGAGTCGTTTGTTTCTACTTTAGGCATAAAATTTGTACAATGGTAGTTACAAGTGAATGTTTTTACCTTGTAAATTATTTTTAAAGGTGCATGCGGGCTTTTCCCTCTGCTGATGTGTTTGAAAGAGTGAACTCAACCAAATGGATACTCTGTTCAACAATACCATATGTGACCTTGTAGTCACTTTTCTATCCTTATCTAAGATGAGGAGTTTGAGGACTATCATAGTAAAGCAGAGTAAGTCCTCACGTTCAAGGACTTTTCTGTCCCTCTCCATTGGCTGAAATGGGCCCAGGCCTGGCCTGGGACAGCAGCAAATGTTAATAATGAAAGATCCCGGTCCTTCACCCTGTGGGCCTTCCCTGAGCACACAGCTATTCTGTCTCTTTGCTCTCGTAAAACCCTCAGCCTGACCCCTCGTGTGGATTTTTGAGAAGGAACCTGATCTCTGTTTGATCTTTCCCTTTCTCCTTTCAGGGGCCGCCTCCCTGTGACATCCTTGTGAGTCTGATAATAAATAGCAAGGGGATAAAAAGAGTGACTTAGGAGGACAGAGGAAAGCACGGCTTCCCACAGGCCTTCACTTTTGTCTAGGGAGGCTCTGAGTGTCACCCTCCTGGATGTCTTCCTGTTCCTGCTGACACTTTCCTCAGCCAAGCCTAAGGAAATACAGTTTCTGAAGCAGATAGAGCTCTTGTGGGAAGCAAAAGTGAGCAAGCATCGCCTCAGTTATCTCTCTCCTTGTGACTGGGCTTCTCCAGAAGACACAAAGTACCACAAAACAAATGAAGAAATTCCTCTCACCCCCCACACTAAATATTTAAACAAAATTGCCCTGCTAATCTTTAGAGATGCCCATATTTTTAACACATGAAAGGTACCCAGTAAATATTTAAAGAAAATATAGACCCTGGATTCTCTAATGAATTTCTTTTTCTTCTAAATAGCATCTGGCAAAATGGCCAGAATTGTGGCGGTCCGTTTCATCTCACATTCCCATTCAGGTTTCACCTCCTTTTCCATAAGGCCTTGGTGTGAACCGAGATTGAATGTTTAATTGAAGAGGACATAATTTTCACACATACAGCAAAGATTTGATGAGGCTTTGAGGTTTATTGTAGCCATTAAAGTGTCGTAGCTGCTGGCAAAATCCCAGAAAATGTCTAAAGCTAAACCAGATGTGATTAGCAAATTTCAAGAAGTGTCGGGCTCCAGTTCCTTAAGCAGCCAGGACCCTTTAGAAGAAAGTGTTTTGAGAAGCGTTAGCCACACGGTAACAATAGAATGTGAATTAACCTATGGTGGATGGTCATACAAACGGCACTGATGCAAGCAGGAGTTTTGAAGCATCTTTCAGAAAGGCAACGCCTTTGAAGAGCATTTTTATGCAAGTACACTGGCTAGGAATTGATTATAGTATCAATGACAATTTATAATGTGATTATTATTTATCAGGTACTTTTACGTATATCATCTCTTTTAATCCTTACAATGATTCTATGAAAGTGTTATTATTTCTGGCCTCTCACGAGATAAAGTGGCTAAATGAGGTTCATGATACTCAAGTATCTGGCCAGTGTTTCAGGGGTGGTTATCTTGATGTGACGCCAAAGGATGTATTTAGTGTTGCATAGCCTGCCTCTGGCCTAGATGTATTCATGTCATTGAGATCAAAACAGAAAGATATATTCAAAGGGTAAAGCTTCATGAAGAGACAAATGGCAGAGAAAAAGAGTTACTAAGCCTGTTCTATCACCTGTGTGTGTACATACACTCCCAGGACTACCCGCACACATTCTCAGATTAGATAAAGACACAGGTGGTGCAAACTTACTCTGGGCTAAGGCTAGGGCTGGAGAAGTGCAGGGTGGGTGGATTTTTAACAAAACACAGCAGTACATAGGACTAAGAATTCAGACTTTGGAATCAGAGGCATGGCTTTTACTGGCTTGGTGGAAAGAAGATCTTGTTAAGTAACAGCTATTAAACATAGTCATTTTCTGGGGCTTAGGTATAGCTCAGTGGTAGAGTATGTGCTTAAGATATTCAAGGCCCTGGGTTCAATCTCTAGCACCAAGAACAACAAATATATTCATTTTATCACTTATAAATAGCACAGTACAGTACCTACATCACAGGGAACATGAGTGCCCAGTAGTTCCTTAGAGTGAGGAAAATTTCCATAAAGCTTATTAGAAGATGTGCCTTTTTGAAACGTGTAACATCAGCTCCTCTTGAGGAGGGGCCAACTTGTTCTGTTTGTGAAATACCTGATTCCTGGAGCACTTATTTGTCCATATTGTGAGGACAACCAAGTTTTTTGTTGTTGTTGTTACTGTTGTTTTTGTTTTTGTTTTGTGGTACTGAGCTGTGTATCCACAGCTCAGCCCAATTTTTATCTTGAGATACTGTCTCACCAAGTTTCCCAGGCTGTGTTTGAACTTGCAAGCTTCTTAACTCAACCTCTAAAGTGCCGGGATTACAGGTATGTTCTCCCTCGTCTGGCAGAACCGTGTTCTTTTTACACTTTTCTTTTTTCCATTTTTACCGGTACCGGGGATCAAACTCATGACCGCCTGCTTGCAAGGCAGGTGCTTATGCCGCTGAGCTAAATCTCCAGCCCCTAGAACCGTGTTCTTAATGCTGAGGAACATGTTCCATATTTTTCTTTTACTCTGTATCCCTGAATTAGACAATGATTTTTATTTCCCTGCTACTACTGTGATGTTACGAGGAATAGTTGCGATACCACAAGCAATAGTTTCTTCCTCTTCAAACTTGTTTCCTGGCAAGAACTCTGAAAGTAGACTTACCAACCCAGATGTGGTAGACAGAATAGTGGCCCCCAAAGATGTCCAAAATCTAATTGGTAGAATCTGTGATTATGTCATCTTACATGGCAAAAAGAGACGTTGACGATGTTGAGATAAAGAGATTATTCTGGCCTGGCCAAGTGGATCTAATCTAATCACATGAGTCTTTAAAATGAATCTTTAAAAGCTGATGGCTTTCTTTGGCTGTGATCAGAGAAAGATATAACTACAGAAGAATGGTCAGAGGGATATAGTATTGCTGGCTTTGAAGACAGGAAGTGGGCACTGAGCCAAGGAATGTGGGGAGCTTGTAGAACTGGAAAAGGCAAGGAACAGATTCTGCCTAGAGACTGCAGAAGGGGATACAGCCTGTCAGCACCTGAACTTCAGCCCAGTGAGATATGTCAGACTTCCAACCTGTACAACTGTAAGATAGATTTGTGTTGGTTTAAGCCACATAAAGTTTGTGCTAATTTGTTATAAAGGCATTAGGAGACTAATACACCATGAAATGGATCCTTCTTCCTGATTGTACCAGTCAGTACCAAGCCACTAACCCCTGACCACCACATGCAGTGTTGCTGAGACTGTAGATGTAGGATTTTCCAGGAGCGTCACTCACCAGTTTTGCAAGAAATGTGAATTGGTGCTTTCTAGAAGGGAGTTTATGGGCAAATAAATTCAGAAATATTGTATATTAAAACAATATAGGAAACTCACAGTGCACATTGAGCCTATTAAAGGCATTGGGAATTTCTGTAGCTTAAAAAATAAATGATTAACCCTGTTTAAAACAGCATTTGCCAATTTAAAGTACAATTACTTTCTTTTATTTCCTCTGAATAGTTAACAAAATGTTATAGAACATACATTCTACAAAGTACAGTTTGATATTGTTATTGTTATCAAATTTTGAGATATGATAGTTATCAAATTTTTAAGATAAAGGACACTTGTTTGATCATTGTTGGGTCCCTCAGAGGGACTGCATGAGTCACTGTGGCCTTCATTCTTTAATGTGGCTCGTGTACTCTCCAGGCTGTAACACCCTTGCTATCCGTGCAAAAAAAACAAGTGGGTAAATCCTCTGCCTCATCTTGACACCTCAGAGTCAGAATCAATGACGCTAATATATTTTAAATTACTCTTGCATTGTCTCCACCAAATGTATATTTTTGACACAACCCTGTGATCATCTTTTATTGTGAAAGTTTCATTCTGTTGAAAATAGGAATGCTGAATTAAATTTTAACTGGAACAAGAGACAGGACCTCTTCAGGTAGCTATTGAAAAG